TAGTTGCCTTCTGTGGCCCCGCATTGTCTGCACTTCGTGGCCCCCGCTCGTCCGCGCTCTTCGTGGCCCCATACGCATTCCCTTCGTGTCCCCGCGGCCCTGCTGTCGTTCTCTCTCGCTCTCGCTTTCGCGCGTCGTCGCCGTCGTCGTCGTCGTCGTCGCCGTCGTCTTCGACGTCGTCGTCGTCGTCGTCGTCGTCGTCGTCGTGGTCGGTCCCCTGTCCGTCTCTCTTGGGGTCGGGTCGACGGTCCGCGGCCGCCCCGCCGATAATCGTTGCCGCTGGCCAGGCCGACGGTCCGCGGCCGCTCCGCCGCTTGCCGGGGCCCGGCCTGCAGGGAAGAAAGGTATACCCCCAAAAAGGGTTCGATCGAAAACGAAGAGGGCGGGTATCGAGGGTTTGGGAAATACGCGTTATTGGACACTCGAGCATATAAGGGCGAACAGTCTTGAAATTATTATTGTTGTTGTTGTCGTTGTTGTTCCCTACCTAGGCTCTGCCTAGAAGGGTTATTACTCGCTTGGCTTAGAGGGGCTGGGCAGTGCAAACCGCCTCGGGCGGTTCCCCCAGCCCCCTTGGAGCCAAGCAAAAACCACAGTGAAGGTAAAAGCAAACGCGCGGTTCCCCCAGTTGCGCTCCTTGGGTGCCAAGCAGCAGAAACAAAGGCAAAGTGAAGGCAACAACGAAGGCCAAGCAAACGCATAGCATTGCATAGCATAGCATAGCATAGCGCAGCATAGCACAGCGCAGCATTGCATAGCATAGCCTAGCCTAGCCTAGCCCAGCATAGCATTGCGCAGCATAGCATAGCATAGCATAGCAACGCATAGCATATAATATCATAGCATAGCGCAGCACAGCATCCATTGTTGCTGCTGTTCGTGTGCGACGGCCGACTGTTAATTTGCAGCGTTTTTGCTACAATATCTGCGAGTTGCGGAAGGGGAACCACCAGTCACGGCGATCTGTGTACTACTGGTTATTCGACACAGTCCCTGCGCGCCAAGAGTGGCTCGGGCGACTCCACGACAGCGGGGAGGTTGTGGTCACACCACTCTGGTGAAACCGCATATTCCAGCGCCGATGATGCCCGCCGAAACAATGCTGAGCAGCTTGTTGCACCGATCCGGGATATGCTGCTGCTGTACAGTTTCGTAGGAACGTTCGGTGTAGCAAATGTTGCATAAACTTGCTCAATGCCAAGTCGTGCGGTGTAGGCCGGATCCGGAGCATTCTCAAGCACGCCCAGTGAGCGAATGCAAAAACATGCGTGCGTGTGTCTGTGCGCAGGCAACGCAAAAGCAACACCAAACAAAAGCAACAACAAAAACAAAGCGACAACAACAGCGACATCAAAAACACAAGCAAAGGCAACGACAAAAACAAAGGCAAGAGCAACAGCAAAGGCAATGGAAAGCAAAATCAGAACCAATGCGAAAGTGTAGATGTAGATGTCGGTGTAGGTGTAGATGTGGATGTAGGTGTAGATGTAAATGTAGCTGTAGGTGTATATGTAGGTGCATATGTAGATGTACATGTGAGTCTCGCTGTAGATGTAGATGTAGATGTAGATGCAGGTGTAGATGTAGATGTATCTGTAGGTGTATATGTAGATGTAGGTCTAGATGTAGATGTAGGTGTCGATGTAGATGTAGGTGTATATATATATACATATATATATGTAGATGTAAAGAACTCCCCAGTGCCCGGCCCTCATCTCCGTGCCTGCTTGATTTTGCTGTTGTCCCGGCGACTTGCTGCCTCCTTCTGCTGCTGCTTCAGTTGCGGCGTGGCGTCGGCGGTGCTGGCGCTACTACTACTACTACTACTACTACTACTACTACTACTACTACTACTACTACTACTACTACTACTACTACTACTACTACTACTACTACTACTACTACTACTACTACTACTACTACTACTACTACTACTACTACTACTACTACTACTACTTACTACTACTACTACTACTACTACTACTACTACTACTACTACTACTACTACTACTACTACTACTACTACTACTACTATCTGCTACTACTACTACTACTACTGCTATTACTACTGCTACTACTCCTACTACTACTGCTGCTACTACTACTACTGCTACTACAACTATCGCTGCTGCTACTACTGCTACTACTACTACTACTACTGCTACTACTACGGCTACTACTGCTACTACTACTGCTACTGCTCCTACTACTACTACTACTACTGCTACTAATACTACTACTGCTGCTGCTACTACTACTACTACGACTACTACGACTACTACGATGACGACGACGACGACGACGACGACGACGACGACGACGACGACGACGACGACGACGACGACGACGACGACGACGACGACGACGACGACGACGACTACTACTACTACTACTACTACTACTACTACTACTACTACTACTACTACTACTAGTACCACTACTACTACCCGCTACTGCTACAACTACGACGATGAGGAGAAGGAAGAGGACGGCGTTTACCGCTCCTACTACTGTTGCTTTCCTAGGGGCTCCAACTCCTAGGTAGGGTCGCGCTGGGATAATTGTTGATTCATCGAAGCGTTTTCGACCTTTTTAAAATTGAGGCTTCCGCTTCAGCGTTTGCCTCATTTCAGGGCCGGCGCTTTGTTCCCGTCGTTCCGAATGGCACGCTCGCCCCAGCGCGGGCTACATTTCTGAATCCCAGTGATTCTTCGTCGTTGTCGCCACCCTTATTGCCCCTCCCCCGTCTTCGCCTGATCTTCCTGCTCCTCCTGCTCCTGCTGCTGCAGTTGCTCCTCGCCGTCATCCTTCCTCATGCTGCCCTTCTTCCTCCTGCTCATCCTCTTGCTCATCCTCCTGCTCATCCGCCGCCTCCTTCTTCTCTTCTAGTGTGCCCAGCCCCCCTTGCCAGATTGGGCGTTGCACGATGGGTCCTTTTGAGTGTTCCAGGTTAGCTATGACACCCGTTGTCGGCTAGAGGAATTCTAGACGCTTCGCGTAACCCCACCAACCCCTTTCGCGCCGTCAGAGTTTTTCCCCGCTGGACTGCGTCACCATTCAGTCTGTCCCTACCCGTCAGACTCCTTGGATAGACGTCCCGCTCGGAATCGTCCTACCCGTTCGTTCTCGTTCTGGCGGGAACGCCTCGCGCGCCATTTTGGCTGCGCTCGGCTTTCCTCGGTGGCTGTACTCAGGCTCCCTGGATGTGCCGTTGCATGTTCCTTTCAGGGGCTGCCCTGCAGACTCCCTGGATCTGCACGCTTGGCTCAGACGCCCTGGGTCGCTGCTGCTTGCCACCTGACCGCGGCCCCGCGCGCGCCCGCCCCCTTGTCGCGGCCGCAGCCCGACCGTGACCGCCTGCCGCTGGCGCTTCCGCCTGCGGCTGTAAAATAAGTAACCCCACCAACCCATCCAGAAACGATGCCCAGAGGAATTGCCTCGATCAGGGAAGTGGGCAGCACGCAGAGGAAGGGTCCCCCAGTGGAGGCCACTTGGAGCGTCTTGGGTGCCTCGGATAACGTTTCTTGGGGGCATCTTGGAGGCCTCTTGGGCGCCTGTTGGGGCCACCTGGGCGCCTCTTGGGGTCCTCTTGAAACGCTCTGGGGAGCCTTGGGAGCGCTCTTGGGGCCATCTTGGAGGACATCGATCAAACAAGCAGCGAACATTTGTTAGCGTTGCCCCTCGGGAGCCCAACGAATCGCCTCTCGGGGCGCTCTTGGGGCGCTCGTGGGGCGCCTTGAGGCGCTCTTTGGGGCGCCTTGGGGCGCTCTGGAACCTCTATTGGGGCCCTCGTGGGCCATCTTGGAGCCATCTTGAGGCCTCGGATGGCCATCGGAAGCGAAAAGACGAGAAAACCAAACACATAGATTTTCCTAAGGTTTTGGCCTCATCGGGGCCTGCTGGGGGAGCTCTTTGGCCACTTGGAGCCGTCTTGGAGCGGTCTTGGGGCATCTTGGAGCATCGTGGGAACCATTATGAGACATCTTGGGATATCTTGAGCCATCTTGGAGGTCATTTTGGGCTCTCCCAGGCGCTCTTGGAGTCATCTTATTCAGTGCCCCCCCCAAGAGGCCAATATGTGGCTAAAACCTTGGTAGAATCAATGATTTGGCATTCTCGCCGAGGCCTCTTGGAGCATCTTGGGTGCCTCTGGGGGGGTCTCTTGCGCCCTCTTGGAGGTCTCTTGGGGGGGCATCCTGTGGGCGTCTTGGGGCTTCCTGGCCACCTCTTGGGGCCCTCTTGGGGCACCCTTGGGAGCCTTGGGGGCCATCTTTGGGCCATCTTGGGTGAGATCGATCACATGAGGGGGGGGGCCCTAATTAGGGTCCCCCCCCTTCAGGAGGCCAAAATGGGGCCAAAACCTTAGTAAAACCAGCGATTTTGGCTTCCTTGCCGAGGCCGTCTTGGGCGCTCCGACGACGCGCGGAGCCCCCTGTCCAGGTCCATGGGGAGGGGTTAGGGGGAGGGGTAAACCCCTCCCCGAAGGGGAAGAAGGAGGAATGGAAGAGGAAACGCCCTAAACCACCGACGCCCAGAGGGCTGGTGTGATTATCGACGTAATGGGAAGGCATGTGTGGGAGGGATTCGGATGTCAGATATGGCGGGGGCGCACCTAGCTTGCCCCTCCCCTTTCCGTTTCAGGTCAGAACTCGGCGCTCTGGCGGCCGTTCGGGACGACTCGGGCACCCCCAGAACGCTCTCGGCGAGACGCAGCCGCTGGAAGGCATCCCAGAAACTGGCAAACCCCCAACCCTGCGATCCGACGTTGCCAACAAAAAAAGCAACATCGCAAAAATACACGACCGGAGCCCCGGAGTGTCATTTTTCAAGCTGGATCGATCTGTGATGGTCCCGGGGCTCGACATTGAGCGAAAACGCCCAGCGTGAAAACATTGCGACGCCAGCTTTTCAGGGAAGAACCGGCGGAACCGTCCGAAAACCTCTGAGGGCCTTTTTCCTCCCGCCTCCCTGGGTCCCCGTGCCCCCCTGCCGCGCGCCAGGTCGGCGAGGTCCGCGGCCTCATGGAGCGCGTGCGGCGG